CGGATTGTTTGCAGATTATCGCAGTGGATCTTCGTGTGCTGCTGCGTATCGAAGCAAATTGCGTCAAAGAATCTGCGCCACCAAATAACCTCCCTGGCGGCGGTAGAAAGAGATAGAAGCTCTGCCTCAGTGCTTGACGTTGTGACCGTCTTCTGCTTGCCAGCGTGCCAATCGATAGGTCCTCCGTACAACTGAAATAGAAATCCGTCAGAGCTATGGCGAGTGGCCAGCTAATACGGCCTGAGTATTCGATCGTCAGCGTGCGCGTGCCGCAGAGATAGCAAATAACTCGATCAGCAGCAGCTGCGTGAGCTACGCTCGGATTCTTCAAAAATTGCGCTAATTTTGAAACGGCGTGAGCTATATCAGGGCGCGAAATAACGGCTGCAAAATTGAGCGAACCAACGCGTTACTGGTATGCTAAAATTTGCTGTGCGCTCACTTGTGCGTCTGAATTCGGAATTAGGGCATCATCAGAGGGTAGCGGAGTCTTTGGCGACTTGCTATTGGCGTTAATGTTGAATTTAGCGGCTATTTTAGTAATATAACAGTCTTGACAGAGCCATAGCTTGCGTTGAAGTCTATCTCTATCAACTCGAATGCCTAGAAACCATTTTAGCTCACCAAGAGATCTCATTTCGAAGCGCTGTAGCAAGTTGTGCTCGAATTCCTTGAATTTCTGCTCGTTTTTCTTGCTGTACAGAATCGCTATATCGTCGACGTAGAAGAATAGAAGCAACGAATCGCATGCGAAGAGGCAGCTAACGCTAGGGATAGGGTGAAGACCTAGCTCCTCAATAGCTGTGCTGAAATTCGTATACTAAAGCAGCGGCGATTGCTTGAGGCCGTACAATGCGCGTAGAAGTAGCCAGCTCTGCTGAGAACGCTTATAACCCTCAGGGGGTATGCAGAATATCCGTTCGTTGAGTTTGCTATTAACGAACGCGTTGACAGCGTCATATTGGCGAATATCAAGATCGAACGCCGCTGCTATAGCCATTAGCGCGCGAAGTGTACGCGCTGCAAGTGTTGCGGCGTAGGCATCCTGCTCTGTTGACTGCAAATCGCCTCGTATGAACGCGTTGATAGCGTCATATTAGCGAATTTCGAGATCGAACGCCGCTACTATAGCCATTAGCGCGCGAAGTATACGTGCTGCGAGTGTTGCGGCGTAGGTATCCTGCTCTGTTGACTGCAAATCGCCTCGTACGCAGAGCCTGGCCTTGAATTTGATGAGATAGCCGTCTGTGTCGAATTTGTATTTAAATACCCATAGCAGGGGCAACGGCATAGCAGTAACAGCCTCCTTATTCACCCACTTGAACGTCTCTCTGCGTGCCAGCTCTTGAATCTCTCTATTAGCAGCAAGCTTGAATTCTGTAGCGAATTTATGCTTAGTCATTTGCTTCCAGCTGCGCAGCTCCGTAGGCAGCGTATCTCTGTGTAACCCATCTATTTTTCCACTTTTTTCGTGCCCTGCAGCGAATGCTGCGTAGAAGGGCGTGAGCTCAGTAGTCTGCGCAAGCGCTGCGGCGTAATTCTGACGTCGAGAGCTCATACGAGAGCGTTTCGAGCCTTCTGGCAGGATATTTCGAGAGTCGAAGTCAGATCGATTTTCAGAGGGCGTAGAAGCGCTGCTAGGCGCAGAATCCGATTATTATACTAATATTTTTTATTATAACCAGTTAGAAAGCGTGCCAGAAGCACTCGAATCGCAGGGAGTTGGCGCGGCTGTAGAATTTGGCGTAGAGGCGCTAGGAGAGTCGTTTTCGCCTCCTGCGGATCTTGCGCCGCGCTCCCTCTCCTCCTCCTCTTCAGTATCTGCACGGCTATTTGGCTCTGCCGCGGCCATAGAAGGAATTTCAAGGATCTCTATAACCTGGTTAGTCGATTCGCGTAGAAGATGGCCTATATCTAGCTCTGCAGGATCGTAGAATAGCTCTTCATTAAACGTAACATCCCTTGTTCGTACGACCTTCTCCAGACTTGGTATCCAAATTCGATAGATATTTGTCGACTCATATCCTACCAAATACCCTATATAAGCTCTTAGCTGCAGCTTCTGCAAGCGTGGTATGTGCTTATTCAACGGATAGGCTCTGCATCCGTACGTGCGGAGATGAGCTAGATTCGGCTTCTGCTTTAATAGCGATTCGTATGAGGTCCTCCACTCTAGCTGGCGCTTGGGCGTACGATTATCGAGATATCCAGTTGCTTTGACGATTTCTGGCCACAAGCTAGCCGGTAGATTAGCAGCTATACGCAAACAGCGCGCTTTTCTGATTATCACCCCCCCAGAGCGTTCAGCTGCGCCATTTTGCTCTGGAGATGCTGGAGCAGAGCGCTCTGTAGTGATCCCTCTTTTTGCTGCTATTTCTGTATACTTGCTGCCTAGTGTTGCCTAGCGTTCGCTCTCCATCTGTGCGTATGAAGCTCACGGAGGCGTTATAACGCGTTTTGACCATATTCAAGAATTCTTCGATGATGCCGTACGCTTGTGACTTCTCTCGATGCGTATACACAAAATCCATGCCTGTAACGAAGCAGCGGAACGCTGGAGAGGCTTTTTGGCAGGCTCTGATTGGCCAGAGCGTCGAGAGATGATTTTATGAGCTGTGCTTAACGCACAGGGTTCGCAGTCAGTTCGCAGGGCCGTAGAAGGAGCAACGACTGCTCCGTTAACGTTTTTCTGCAAATAAGAGATAGCCTCTTGCCCTGGATGCCCTAGAATAGCGTGCCAACGGTCAGCCGTGGCCTTAATCGCCTCTTTAGGAGCTCTGCTGCTGGCGGCGAACATTGCCTCTTTAGGAGCTCTGCTGCTGGCGGCGAACGTCGATAGAGTGCCTTTTTCAGCCGGTAGAGGGCACGCGCTGGAGAGGCTTTTTGGCAGGCTCTGCATGGTCTGAGATTAAGGTGTTGTAACTTACTAGTGCAAGGGCATCAACTGAGTGACAGAGCGTAACATCTGGACGTATCTCAACAGTTTAGGCACAAATCAATTTTATTAGCAGGGAGAGCACAGGGGGAGGGGGGGGAATAGTGCGGAAGTATTGCGCGCCCAGGATCTCCATGAACTTTTCCACTGTGGAGCTTCTCGGTGCCAAGGCCGCAGTCAAATAGTTTCTCGACAGAACAAATTCATTGCCTCAATCAGCACAACATCATCCACACATTCTCGACTTGAAGAGGGTGGTGGTCGGGCTGAAGTAAAATGCCGCGCAAGGCTGTTGATTCCCGCATCCCAGCGCTAATTCGTAATGGCGTTCAGGAAAAGAAAAGAAGTTTCATTGTGGTGGTAGGAGATAGGGCGAAAGATGTTATTGTACATTTGCATTATATCATGTCCAGTGTCGATATCAAACAGAACAAGTCCGTTCTATGGGCCTACAAGAAAGACCTCCTGGGTTTTACGAGTCATCGAAAGAAAAGAGAAGCAAAGATTCGGAAAGAGGTGAAGAGAGGCATTCGAGAAGCCAACACCGAAGATCCGTTCGAATTGTTCGTCACTCTCCACAACATCCGCTATGTCTACTATAAGGAGACCGACAAGATACTGGGAAACACATATGGAATGTGCATATTGCAAGACTTCGAGGCAGTCACACCGAATCTATTGGCCAGGACGATCGAGACAGTGGAAGGTGGTGGCTTGGTGCTGCTCCTGCTGAAGGGTATGAAGAGCTTGAAACAGCTATACACACTCTCAATGGATGTACATTCAAGATATCGGACAGAGGCCCATAACGATGTCGTCTCTCGTTTCAATGAACGTTTCATCCTTTCTTTGGGCACTTGTGAGTCGTGTTTGGTAGTGGATGACGAGCTCAATGTACTCCCAGTATCAGGTGGTAAGAATGTCAAGCCGTTGCCACCACCAGCCACCGGAGATGAGGAAGTGAGTGAAACGAAGAAGGAGCTGAAGGAGATCAAGGACAACTTAGCCGATACACAGCCTGTGGGATCGTTGATCACCCTTGCAAGAACGATAGACCAAGCAAAGGCGTTACTTACTTTTGTCGACGCCATCTCAGAAAAGACATTGCGAAGTACCGTAACACTCACAGCTGCTAGGGGACGGGGCAAGTCCGCTGCATTGGGTGTCGCAATTGCTGCCGCTATAGCGCATGGCTATTCCAACATCTTCATTACTTCTCCAAGTCCGGAGAATCTGAAGACACTGTTCGAGTTCGTATTCAAAGGATTTGATGCGCTCAACTACATGGATCATGTCGACTATACCATCCTACAATCCACCAATCCAGAGTTCAATAAAGCTATCGTCAGAGTAAATGTGCATCGGCAGCACAGACAAACCATACAATACATCCAGCCGCAGGATGCTCATGTGCTGGGCCAAGCGGAACTTCTTGTCATTGATGAGGCTGCGGCAATCCCTCTGCCCATGGTCAAGAAGCTTATGGGCCCATACCTGGTCTTCATGGCCTCAACCATTAATGGCTATGAAGGGACTGGCAGGTCACTTTCACTGAAATTGATACAACAACTACGAGAGCAATCGCGAGGTGGTGGCAAAAGCAGTGAGGATACAGACATTGCAGACAGGTCGAATGGGAAGCCCACCAAGAATGGCGACAAGGTCTTTTCTGGTGGTCGTTCTCTGCGAGAGATCACGCTTTCGGAACCAATACGATATGCGCAGGGTGATGCTGTTGAAAAATGGCTCAACCGGCTTCTGTGTCTTGATGCAACACTCCCCAAATCACGGATGAATACTCAAGGCTGTCCACATCCATCTCAATGTCAACTTCTACATGTCAATCGTGACACTCTTTTCTCCTTTCACCCCGTCTCCGAAAAATTTCTACAGCAAATGATGGCTTTGTATGTGGCATCGCACTACAAGAACTCGCCCAATGACCTGCAACTCATGTCAGATGCGCCAGCTCATCAACTATTCGTTCTTGTCCCTCCCATTGACGACGAAGCAACTCGTCTCCCAGAACCACTCTGTGTTATTCAAGTCGCACTTGAAGGTCGCATCAGCAGACAAAGCGTTCTCAATAGCCTCAGTCGTGGGCAACGTGCCGGTGGTGACCTCATTCCATGGGTTGTCAGCCAACAATTTCAAGACTCCGAGTTCGCCGGACTCTCTGGTTCTCGAATAGTCCGTATAGCAACCAACCCTGATTATCTCAACATGGGGTATGGATCTCGTGCATTACAGCTACTCACCGATTTCTACGAGGGGAAGTTCACCAATCTTTCCGAAAACGACAGCTCCACCATTCAAGACATCGAATCGATGCCACGAGTCACGGACGCCGAGTTCGAATCCACATCGCTGCTCGAAGACACGATAAATATTCGCGATATCCACACAATGCCACCTCTGTTCAGCAAACTCTCTGAGTGTCGTCCTGATCTTCTCGACTACCTAGGAGTCTCCTTCGGCCTCACCTCTCCTCTCCACAAATTCTGGAAACGTGCCCACTTCGCCCCAGTATACCTGCGCCAAACTCCGAATGATCTTACGGGCGAACATACCTGCGTGATGCTTCGGCCGCTTCTCAACAATGACGCAGACGACGTCACCTGGCTTCCCGCCTACGCATCCGATTTTCACAAGCGCTTCCTAACACTCCTATCCTACCAATTCCGAACCTTCCCCGCCATTCAAAGCCTTAGTATTTCTGAATCCGCCACAAAAGTTACCTCGAGTCCAAAATCCAGTTCCGCTACCAGCACGTCTCCCCTAACAGTCTCAGACCTCGAAGCGGCATTCTCTCCCTTCGACCTAGCCCGCTTAGATAGTTATGCAAACAACATGCTAGATTACCACGTAATCCTCGATCTTCTCCCACAAATTGCCATGTTCTATTTCACAGGACGTCTGAGAACCTCTGTCAATTTGTCAGGCGTCCAGCAAGCCATCCTTCTTGCCATCGGCCTGCAGAGAAAGGTGTTGGAGGATGTAGAGCACGAACTTGGTGTCCTGGCTAGTCAGCTACTGGCTATGTTTGTGAAGGTTGTGAGGAAGGTGTCGAATTGCTTTCGGGCATTGAAAGAAGATGCTGTGGCCGAGACTTTACCGGCCAAGAGCGCAGGGGATGTGGAAGCTGGAGATGTGGTGGATGGAATGGACATGGACCAAGTTCCACACCACGGCGCTGACACCAATGCCAACACTCATGTCCTCAATTCAGAGGGTAAGGAGAAGAAGACTCCAGCTTCACGCTTCCAACCAATCGCTCAGTCCCTATCCGACGAGCTAGCAGAAGGGGGCAAAGAAGTAGACAGGGAGATGAAGGAGAAGCAACGCGCGCTTATCGATGCGCTACCTTTGGATCAGTGAGCTTTCCACCCTCTACCGTAAAACCTAAACTCCTATCACCTCTCCGCTCTATATTGTTGTTGTGAAGGGAGTAACTAATGCTAATGCCCAGCCTACAGATACGAGATTCCCAACACGGGCCCGTACCCAACCACGAACACCAACGGCAACAGTAACAGTAAAAGTAACACTGATAAATTATGGGAAGACGCAGAGCGACAGATCCGCCAGGCTGCTGCCGGCGGAGGAAGTACGACTGTGAGCGTGAAATTAACCAAGGCCGCAACCAAGCGGAGGCTTGACGGGAGAGACAAGCATGAAGAGGAGAAAGAGCAAAAGAAGAAAAAGAAGAGCGGAAAAGATGGGAAGGAGAGGAGGGAGAGGAAAGAGCATAGATCCAAGAGATAGAAATTGAAATCTCTAAGGAGCCAGCCAGCCAATCAGACACCCCCAGGGCATTCGTTTGAAGCCTGCTCATTTTCCCATTTCAAAGGCGAGAATGACTAACTGGTAGTTAGAGCAGACAGATCTCCGGTAGACCAGCAAAATGACCAGCCATGATTTGATACGCATGCAGATGCAATCTTGATATGTATTTGATGTATGCTCGCCCCCCTAACTCTCCTCCTGAAATCTCCTCCAGGAAGTCAACCTCTCCTACTCGAACCCCATCCATCCATCTATTCATCCTCACGTAGCATGAAATCCAAGAGAAAGGGCAGATTGCATGCATATTGGGTTGTTGTGTTGCTTTGCTAGGGACGCAATGTTCACGTCCAGGTTCACTCACAGTTAAGCTAGGTACTAAGAGTGATGATGATGCACACAGCCAGCGGGGGACAGATGGAGTGCTAGTTGGGTACTGTAAGGAGGTCATCAGGGCCTGTATTGTACGTATGTATTAGTTAGCGAGCAAGTCAGGGAGGGGTATAGCAGCAGCAGCAGATGGAAGGGAAGGGAAAATGCCGAGTGGAAGCCAGACACGGGCAAGACAAGACAAGACAAGACTCTGGCCAGTCCAGCCCACTGCCCGGTTCAGGCTGGTGCGCTGGTCGGACGAGCGACTGAGTAAAAGCTACTGCAATGAAAGATGCTTAGAGAGTCGGTAGCTCTCCAATGAATGCTTGACCTTCAGTATCACTATCAGTATCCAAGCTCACCCCCTCCTTCCTGCCTCCGCCTTCCGCCTCCCTCCGCCAAAGCTCTAACTGGTATGGAACCAAGGCTTCAGGCAAGACGCAATCGCAACCGAAATCGAAGTTGCAAGCTCCGCCCAGCCAGCCCAACCCAATCATGCCACCGTCTTAGAGCAACCACCTCATCTCGCTTGCGCTTCTCTTCTGGCTAGAACACAATATTTTCTTTCTTCGTTATCCCGTGCCACGCCATGCGCCCCTCCAATCTGGCCTGCAAATATCGGACAGAAGAGCGTGCTTGTTCTCCGGCCTTTTTCTCTTCTTTCTCGATTTTGTTTTCTGGTTTGGAAGATATTGGTCGATGATGTACTTGGGTGGGATGATGGTGGTAGTGATTGTGACTGCGATGTCTATTCTCCGCTTTTGAAAAGGGGAGGGGGTGTGAGTGGTGATAAAGGAAGAAAAAGCGGGAAGAAGAGAGAGAGCGCTAGGGGATAATAGTGTTTTTAAATATTATTTTCGCAATGAAGTGAATAGAGGGAAGGGTTGAGGGTAGGGATAAGGATAGATAAAGATAGATAAGGATAGTGATGTGATTTTGCAAAAATAAGGTGGTGGCGAGGTAAAGCTCAAGAATGGTGTTGATACCGTGAATGGTACCGCGAATGGTACCGCTAGGCTCAGCACCAGCAATCAGGATCAGGGTCCAGCTCAAGATTTGGGTGGCCGGCCTCGTCTGCTCTTCGGGAGATTGAGGGACTTGGCGTATTGGTTGCGGGTTTTGACTGACTACGGGGAAGGGAGAGGTGGTTAGCACGTTGTCGAGGTGAAATCCAACAAGGAGACGAAGGCCGGCGTTTTACCGCCTGGCAAGGGAGGGAAAGAGAGAAGGTAGGGAAGATGTGGTGCTTACTGTCTTCGCGGCGGTGTATTCGCCATCTTCAGGGTCATAGTCTTCTGTTTTCCTTGCTTTAGGTCTGGCCTTCGCCTTGGCTTTGGGACTGAAGCTCGGCTTTACCGGTGGTTCGGAGGCTACTGGCGCATTGGGGGTCACAGCGGCAGTTGCTAAAGGTTCTGCTTTGATATTGGCTGACACGGCGCTGTTTTGAAAGGTATTCGCGAGCTCGGTGAAGGAGCTGCCATCCCATGTTTTCCATCCTTCGTGGTAATCGTGCCGCAAAGCGCTGATGGTGTTGACACTGACCCCTTTCAGGCGCTTGGCAATCGTGGACCAGTCCGGCATCCCCTTTACATATCGGGATTTCCGGTGATTTTGTAACACCACGTTGATTTTGGGTTTGAAGTAGGTTTGTAGGTATCTTTCACGGAGGTTATCATCAGAAGAGGATGGTGAAGCCGTATTCGCCAACGGACTGGCGTTGGCAATTTCATGTTTCTGTCTTTTCACACCCTGACAGTATTAACAGATGGAAGCCTCGAGAAAGAGATGAAAAGAGAGCTAGAGAAAGCTGCATACCTGATCGTCGTCAGAAATATCAGATATGGCGTCTCTCTTGCCAAGAGTGGTGTTTCCTGAAGGTGGTTCAGACACCATATCTGGCGCTTCTGCGGGCCATGGTCCATGAAGATGCTCGAAAGGAACCGATTTATCGCTGTGGACTGTTTCGTCCATGATTTCATTGGATTCACCGTGCTTCTCAGCATCATTATTGCTTCCACCTTCAATGCTAGGTTCACTCTCTGTTCCGAGAAGCTGCCGCACGAGAGAAGGGTGCGAAACGACGTTGTTCTGGTCAAGACCTGCTGAGCTCGTCTCCTTCTCACTTTCGTCCATGGTCTCCTCAACTAACTGATGCTTGCTGATCGTTGCTGCGAGCTGGCTACTGCTCATATTTGCGATGGAGTCTTGCTGAGACGACTCACCATTGTAGCTGTACAGCTCTTTTGGGTCGACACCCGCAAGCTCCAAAAGCTCCTTAAGATTATATCCTGGAACGCGCCCACCAGACATCATGAAGGCCAGAAATCTCCCATTGACCCAGTTGATCATGTCTGCACGCCGCTTCTGGTCAGAGATCTCAACAGCCCAAGCAGCCCATTGGTAGAGCAATACCATCATCTGCATATGAGGCGGCGCATGCTCAGGAGGGATCCGATCATGATAGTTCTCTTCGGCGTTCCTAGCTCGCATAGCTTCAAGACGTTCCCCGTAGGCATTCAGCACTTTAGGCTCTGCAAGGTCGATGTATTCAGGATTTCCATGATCTCGGTTGTACGCAAGAAGTGACTTTGTCGATCTAGCTTGCTGCTCGTGAGCCGTGAGAATACGAGGTGAATCCTCTGGGGGCCTTTCTTGCCTCCCAGGTTCAGCGTTGATAATTGTGTTACTGTCCTCCTTGTCGTGAGCGAATTCCTCGCTAAAACCACGGCCCTCACCGATGTCTTCCCGCACAGAGCCATTTTTGATTGATTCTGGATGGGCATCGACGTGCATAAGATCCTTAAGAGGGTGCGATGCAGGTTTTATAGAGATTTTGCTGTCCTCATCGTCCGAGGAAGAGTAGAGGCGAAGGAGTTCCCTCTTAGTGTCTATGACACGCAGTATATTCGAAGACTTTGACGAAGAAGTCGATCGGCGCTGTGCCAGTATTGCAGGAGAACCCGTGTATTTTGGCTCCAGCATCATCGCCGCTTGCTCAATCGAGCTGAGAGAAATTTCTTTCGGCGGTATCCAAGTGAAGTTGTCAGAATCGTCAAAGCTAAGTCCAGCAAAATTCAAGAGATCGGTAAGAAAAGATCGACGACCCTGGCACGACTATCTCAAAATAGCTCACCGGATGGAAGGTTAGAAGATGTGAGAGAGCGGCGGACTTGACGGATCGCCGGTTCGGAGTTGTCTTCGAAAATGGACGACAAAAACTGATCGAGGTTGCAGGATGACATTCGCAATGTGAAGTGGATATAGAACGTATCGTCGAAAGTGAATGGGTTGACAGTGAAACCCCGCAAGAAAGCGACGCACGGTCGAATACTTATTCTCCCGGGTGAAAGCAAGATGACGTGGAGGAACGTGTTAAACTTCAAATGAGAGGGAGGGTAGCAGGGGTTGAATAAAGAGAAGAACGAAGATGGGCATGACCCGAGCGCGTCGGCTCAGAAGCGGTTAAGGTTGACTTGAATGCCACCTTTAAACGAAGTACAAGGACTGAGCAAGCAGCGAGGCACCAATGAAGGTATACTTGGATGGAAAAGGGAAAATGGAGGACAGGCAAACGTGTTGCATAAATCCCAAGGACTTGAGGACCTTTCTAAAGAAAAAGAAGAACCCCAGCTTGATGTACGTCAAACCTGGCCTGAGAAAGGAAAGGTTACCTTGAAGAAGAATGCGAAACAGCTTTTGATTTCTTGGCCATGCATTCTGAGTGCAGCGACGACTTGCTCACATACCTACAGCTCATCGTGATCGGCCTCCTTTTCCGCTGGCTGCAGAATGACACCCTCATCCAGAGACTCTTTCTTCCCATCTCCTAACTTAATTGCATCAATAAACGACTCCATTGAGACGACATCAGTATTCTCGCCGCTATATCGTCTCCACCAACCTCTTTTCGTATTCATAGCAATGATCTCGAGTTCCGTTACTGGCTTCAGTCCGAGCTTATCCCTTAATTTCTCGGTAGCTTCGTTCTCCGCCGGTACCGCATAAAATGGAAACAGCTTGGCTTTACGTTTAACATGCTTCTCAGCAATCAAAGCAAGAGACTTCAATGCTTGTGCGACTGGTTCCGGCGGTGTAGCATCCGCATCTACTTGCGATGGGAGCAGGGCCATGACACATGTACCAATCTTGGGATCAAGACAACTCAAGATAAGATCAGCCAGGGTTACCAAGCTCCGTAATGGAGGGGTTGAATCAGGCACTGTGATGGGCGTCTCGGATGGAGGAACGATAGGCATTGGTGATTCGGATGCATCAAAGTCCTCCAGGACAATGGTGCTACCACTCGCTGCAGCTTCTGATGCTTCAGCAGATTTGTGGGATGCTGACGCCTCGGAAAAGGCGGACGAGGATGAAGAGGATGGTCTCGTGGCCTTCGGCCTTCTAGAAGATGATGCTTTTGTAGACTCCGGAGCTGGGTCTGGATTTGGAGGGACAATCTGGCTCAAAAAGGTGACGATGGGTTCTTTTTTCATTTCACCATCGTAAACCAATGAATCCTTTGCTCCGCCAGGAAGCAAAACCAATGTTGGAAATGTTGATATGCCGAACATCTCAACTGCTGCTGTCTCCTTGTTCCGAATCTGCGCAATATTTATTTTCCCAAGAAAGTCAATAGCTATTGCACGGAGAATAGCACTGGTCGTTCCTTTCTCTGTAAACAAAATAGCCTTGGTAGTTTCGTTACTTGTAGAGAGCCATCCATCTAAATCTTTTTCTTGTAGTCTCTTCACATGGTTTGGTATCTTGTCCACCACGGCACCAACGATGCCCTTCACATTTCGGGGTCCCTGGTAATCTTCAACTATCGGTCTACCGGGCTTGGAACCAGGTTTGATTATCTTCAACGTAGGAAATCCTTGTACGCCCATCTGGCTACAGAGCAGCTTATTCGAATCCTCGTCGCAATTGACTGCCGCTACTTTGGCAAGACCAGCCAAGGACTTCGCGGCTTCTTCATAGGTAGGTTTGAGGTTTTGACAATGCCCACACCATGGTGCGTAGAATCTGGGAAAGGTGAGCTTGATCGACGGTGCAGTTGGGTGTCCAAGTATGCGTACTCAACGATCTAGATGTTCGTTAGTGACAATCACGGGACGAAAGTGTTGCAGCTGATACCGAAGTATGATTCGAACCAGCGATCAGGCTATCATAGCTTTTGCTGTCGACCTGCAAGACAGGTGATTTCTTGGTATAGATCGCATCAGCGTTGACAAATGAGAGAAAAGCCAACACTGTCAGAGAGTTCTTGACTGTAGGCATTAAGGCTCTCTGATTGCGAGGATCGTCAGTGTGGAACAGAGAGGTGTTCGTAGGCAGTGTTACATAACTTGTAGTGCTCACCCGGGTTAGCCAGAATGTGCGGCGATTTAGCTGAAATCTAGTTAGCCAGACAAGCAGCCAAATTTGTGGCGGAGCTTTGGGTAAATTTCGGCTTACACATAACGTACTAGTACTCTGTTACCTGCACTCGTAAACTAAAGTGGTCTTGGCTCGAACGAGTCGCATTGCTGGTGTGCTCCTCGAGCTTGGTCTCACAGAAACACGTCTACAGTCATCGAAAAGCAAGTTATCTGTCGCGGCTATAGTAAATCAAACTGAAAAGTTGGCTTTATTTGCTTATGCGGATCTGATTTCATTAGATTCTTCTGAGGCTAATCAAGTATGACTCTAGATTCGCCTGTACTCCAGCAAAGCATTCAAAGCATAATCCCGATCCTTTCATTCCGGGGATCTTCTGACCATTGTCGAACACAAGATATCAATTTCATGTACTTGGCCTGTAGGAGATCCCAAAACTATGATTCTGAGATCTTCTAGGCTCTCGTGCCGGTCTTAAAAAATTGTATTTGACCAAACACAACACGATCTCTATTGCGCCAAGTATCTTCACTCTGTATCTTGGATTTCTGTCAGTCAAAAATTACATAGGATTCACTCGCTACAGAAATAGATAGGATCATCAGGTGAGCATTTTTACTTCTGACTACCGTCAGTCCTTACGCGTCTCTATACTGAGGTCATCGAGCACGAAACATAGCCTGAAAAATTGAGCTCTCACTGCGATCAAAGTCCGCAAGTCAGTGGTATGTGAAGCTGTCCGGTTTTTTGCTGTGGACCTGTACCTACACACTTTGAGATGCAGGTTCATCTAGCAAGATATCCTAAAGATTAGCGAGAAACAGACAGAAGCCTGCAATGAGTTGCGCCTCCACGCGGTACAGGCGGGAACCTGGCCTTACATTATTGTATTGGCCAGAGCTAAAGCAACTCATTCGAAAATTTCGCTAGACGTCTCAAGACAAGTACAAGATGGTGACTTGGGAAAGGTCGTCAACGATGCATAGTGGGGGAAGATATCTCACCATCACGAAGGAGGACGCGTGCCTTCCACCAAAATGACTGACCGAAGTGGCCGCACAAATAATATGGCAACGTGTGACGTGAACACTCGGAATCTCTATCTTGACCTCATGCCTTGGCGTGGATTCAGCGTCTCATACTCGTTACAAGCCAAAATCTCTTTCAAGCTGTGCCGTGAAGAGGTCTTCAAATACTGGCGAGACCCACGGATTTGGAATCACCCACCATGAATCCTCAACAGTATGGGCAAAGCTACATCGGTCCTCCGTCGAGCACGTTTCCGCCTTCATACGTCTCGCAGAACTATGGACCCACCAGCAACACATTCAACAATTGTTATCCCAGCCCACAACAGCCAGCGTACGGTGCAGTGTATATCCCGGTTGCTACACTTCCAGCGTTCCAGTATCATCATCCCTACGAGAATCCTCAGTCCTCACAAGCAGGACCTTGTCATCATTCCCTCCGCGAATCCTCAGTTCTCACAAGCAGGACCTTATCGTCATCCCTCCGCGAATCCTCAGTTCTCACAAGCAGGACCTTGTCATCATCCCGTTCCTTCATGTCACTATGATCATCGAGGGCAGCGGTACGAGCCTCAGACCTTCCCCCCTTATCATGCGGCTCAAGCCTACTTTGTCAACGATCAGTATGGAGGCGCAGAATATCCGAGACAGCAACCCTTCACGGACAATCACCATGTTCAGCAGCCTCCAACCATACGAATGGGCTTTGATGACAGCTCCAACCCTAACACGAGAGCACGACCTCACGCCACTACAGACCTTCGTCCTCAAGCGCAGTCATTCATACCTCGATCAAGCCGAATTCGTAAGACCAAGACCAAGGCATCGGGTCAAGTAGTTGACCTTCAAGATGAGCGTAATAACGACAATTCTCGGTGTGATGACGGCAAGCAGGATGGTCTGTCTGGTCAACCGTCGTTGTCTTTGCCAAGAAAGCCTGAAAAAGTGGTGCCATGGAAACGTCGGCGAGACAATACGCCCACCAAGACAAGTCCCCAAGCAAAGCGACATTCAAAGATGCCCATACCAGCCACCTGTGTTTCAAGCCAGACAAATGAAGCTCAGCAATCAGTCACACCCTCTGCCACACCTCAATCAGTGCCAAGTGGCTCTCGATCCAACTTACTGACTCATGATTCTTTGTCCGCAAGGGCGAAGAATCATGACTCGGGCAACTTAGGTCTGGAGCAGGACTTGACAAAGTCTTTCTCGACGTTTCGAACATCATTGACTGGCTCCGAATCTAGATTACAGAATCATGGTTCTTTGCCCGCACCGGTAAAGAATCGTGATTCGGGCAGTTCGGGTATGGAGCAGGACTTGAGCAAACCTTCCGCGACGCCTCATGCACCATCAGGTGGCTCTCGATCCAACTTACTGGCTCGTGGTTCCCAGTCCGCAGGGTGAGGAATCGTGACTCGGACGACTTGGGCAGAGAGCAAAGCTTGCATTAGACTTGTCCAAAGCATGAATCTCTTCAAACACGACATCAGGCAGTCGTGTCCGACAATGATCCTCCATCCTCGCAGGCAGTCACATGTCGCCCGGCGGGTAGTCATTGGCAAGAGACAAAACAAATGACACCTTCACCTTACACAAATTTGCTACAGTTTGCTGAAAGAACCTCCCAAGGATTTTCTTTGAGCCCACGAAGGATGTCCGTATTGTTTTAGAAACATTTGGGGTACGTGTCGCACGTTGTTGGATAGTACCTGAAACAAACACAGCAGAGGTTTTAACAGCTCCAGAACGACATAGCGATATTCTGGTGTTCACTTCAGCCGCTTAATGCTACCACAAAGCCATAACGTGTCGCCTGGACGGCGTGGAGCTGGAAACATGTCAGAGAAGACGTCTGTTTGTCTCATCCTTGAAGTCAAGTCCAAGGCAAGTGAAACGTCCAGACTCTGATGGAGAATCAGTCGATACAAAGATCATCGCCAGGGAGAAAAGAAACCCCACGCCAAATCATACTTCATGGAGAGAATCAAGTTGTCTCTACGCTAGCTTAGTACCTAAAGCGATATTTCTTCATTAAATTCTTGGCATAAGGATCTGTTTATGGCATGGAGGACTCCTCTGAATCTTATCATCCGGGCAACCCTGCTGCAAGAAGACCTTGGAAGAAATGTCTTACAAACGTTCTGCACGATCACCCAGAGGTTATCAATTCGTTTGAGACAGGGGAGAAACCCAACTCCTCAGTAGCTAAGTCAGGTTCTCATATAATTCTTCGAGAAGGGCTGGAACAAATTTCCTGTACTCCAAGGATCAGAGGCCTGCTTAGTGGCCTTTCCAAAGGGAACTTGCAACCAAATCTCATTCCCTAAGCCTCAAGATTTCCGTCAAGAACTCCTCAAAGCTCAATGTGACATAACCATCCCGATCATCATCATAGCCTTTGAACACGTCGGTCATCCGCTTGAGACTGATGCATGCCTGTACAAATAAATCGAAGCTCATGCCTTCCCTTCCTCGCCCCGTTCCTCCTCGGTCGTTGTAAGAATTATATAGTACTGCTGTAAATGGCTGACTCAATCGGTACCCAAATGCCAGTAATGCCTTGCCAAACTCTTGCAGGCTGATACGCCCAGAATGATCCTCGTCAAATCTCTCAAACAGCTCCCTCCAAGCAGCAAGGAATCGCCACAAATTAACGAATTCTTCGTAGGTGATGTGAGATTTTGTAGCTGTGGACGAGAACATCCTAAGCAGGCATTTAATTGTATATGGATCGAAAGCCGTGTAGTCGGCGTTGACTAGGGCTGATGAAAGTTCCTTCTCCGACAAGCAGCCCGAACCGGAAACGTTGGCAGCGCGGAACAGGGGAAACAGGTCTGCCTCATCAGGTGCCTGCGGTGGTGGTCGCGGGGTGGGAGGGGGT